AACAATCTCTTTACCAAGATAATGCGAAATAAGTTATTTACAATCAGATTCTTCCTTAAAAATAAATGTTAAAATATTTACTGCTTCTAAATTCTCCACGAATTCAATTTCAAAAGAACTGAGACATCTTTGTGTAGTTCTGTCAATTCCGTTTAAGCATAACATGATTGTAACTCAACCACGCCCCCTGCTGGAAAGAAATACGATAAAATTCCACTTGACAGATTTGATACTAAAATGAAATGAGTCTGATTGAGCTGAATTTATTGCTATTAAAATAAACATTGTATGAATGTGCATTGAAAGCTTTTTCAGAATATAAAGGGACACGAAGCGTACCATTATTGAATACTTGACACATTGTAACATAAAAATACATTTAGAGGAAACATCATAAATCATTTCAGAAACATGACACTAACATCATAAATTGTTTCAGTTGAAAACAGAGGTTAAATGTTACAGTTACATTAGATTGCATGTTTGAATTTCCAGTTTTAAGAATAAAATACATGTTATATCTTCCAAACTGGATCTTTTTGATGAATCCTTCAAACCAAAGTGTGAACTAAATATATTTACGTCAGTCATTTCCTGAGTGGTGTTATTTGCTTATTGTTCCTCTGGTCATCAGTACTGCCTCCACGTTGTCCTGCTTGTCAGTTCTCCTCCACATTGCTGTAGTTTGGAATGGTGAAGAAACTGCCTACAAGGATTTGTGGTAGGACAAGAGCCAAGTTTGGGAAAGAAAACAAAAGCAGGAATAAAAGCACTTTGCTGGAATGAAAAAAAAAAAATCAAACTGCATGATAAAGTTTCTCTAACCTTTGCCCCATCCATAATGTTGTATTGAACCCAAGTCAATGTTCTGCTGTCCTGGTTTTGGTTTCCAGATATGTTCCTCCTGCTAACATTAAACAATAATCAAAGAGTTTCACCTCAAAACTTTAAATTGATGTTCCTTTCTCAGTGTTGTTTTTACATCTGTAAAACACGTTGTTTTTCTGATGAGGAAATATTCACAGAAAGTGATCACGCTTTGGGTAAGAAATTATCCACAGAACCAAAAAACACATTTCTCTGGCTTCACTTATTAACAGTTTGAAGGTAATTATTTATTTATTTACTTATTTATTTTGGTAGTTTTAAAAATCAGAAGCACGAGTCAATAAAAGTCCACTGACCTGCAGAGGCAGAGAGCCGTAGTCATGAAAGATAAAAGCAATCCAATGGCAAATGGAAATATGATTGTAATATCCAGTGATGAACCGATTGCTGAAGAAAAAAAAGATTATTAACCAAAGATTAAAATTTAAACTTCACAGTAGATGTGTTGCAGATGTGTTCATTACATACCGTTTTGATTTTCAAGAACTGTTACGGTCCATGTAATGTTGTTAAGGCCTTTATTCCCAGTTATATTACAAGTATAAAGTCCTGCATCATCAAACTGAGCACTATCGATACTTAATGTAGAAGGTATGTTTGTGTCTATTTTCAGTGCGTGAGAGGAGAAATTTGACAAAGTTCGATTATTGGAGGAGGAGTATGAAAAAAAACATCTGCCTTTGGTCCATTGGATTAATGTTGTATTTTCATTAGATATACTGCAAGTGAACAGGACTGAGTCTCCTCTGGACACCACCAACACATCATAGTGCTCTGCTGTAGGAGACAATGAAATTGAAAAACTAATAATTATAGTTAAAATCTTAAAAATAAAAAAAAAACAGAAATTCACTCCTTACCTGTTGAGACACTCCAGATATTTACCAGCTGGATAAAGAGCAAAGCTTCTTGCTTCAAGAGGAGCATGATGTCCACCTACTTATGAGGAGTCAGATTTTCTGTTATCTGTTGCTGCTGTGAAGGAGTGCAGAAAAGGAAATGGCTATTTCCGTTTCTTTGAAAAAAAAAAAAACACCCTGTAAAGTAAGGTACAGCTCAAATGTTTATCAGAAACTAACTTCGGAGTAGAAAAGCTAAATAAACGTTGATCCATTTTGTTAATGAAGAGCTTTAACTCAAAGTAGAAAAATAAACTATTTCTGTTTTCTATAATTCTGCCAACGTTAGACACATTTAGAACATAATAAATATTAGACACAAGTCAAATATTGTGTCTAATAAGTTTTGAAGGCATAGCGTGACCTCGCTATGCCTTTAAAACAAACTTGTTGGTATGTTGTTGCATAGATTTTGTAATAATGCACATGTCTTTAGATCGTGGGAAGAAGCCAAAGAACGCAGAGGAGCCAAACATTCACAGAAAGAAACTCATACAACCCCTGTCTGTCCTAAGTCTATATTATTGTGTATCTAATTTAATATTTTGCTCTTAAAAATGCTGACTACACAAAGCCAACAAGCTCAGCTCCTTTGTTTCCTGTATTGATGTTTTACAGCATAGTTATGCAAGAAATCCTCTGCACTAAATCTAACAAAACTTCTACTGCAGTTTGACACTCCGGTAAAGTCACAAAAAGTCGTTATTTTATTTAAGTTAAAAGACTCATTTTAAGTATTTATACAGACAGTATTTCAAAGAAAAATGTCCCATTGATTAGCATACAAACACACATCTAGTTTAATAAACTTCAAATTAGGATAGGCTGGGATAAGAATCCTGTTACTGAGGGTAAGTATTGCAATGAGGAAACATCACAGGTCCATCTGGTACCAGTAGGTACCACTGGAGCACACAGCAGGGTGCCAGAGGGCAGAAAGGTGGATGTGATGAACGTGACCCGGGTAACGGAGATATGTAGCAAGAGAGTCACTCTGTACTCTTTATAACTTTGGCAGAGTTCAGAAATTACCAATCTAATCTGAGATATAGAAATAAATGTCTCTTTTTATATAGTAATGGGATTTCTCATGATCAAGTGCCCGGTTTTCCATCATTACATTTTCTCTTCTCGGTCAGATTTGGGATGAATGGTGAACTCTTCATGATGGAATCAGTTTCAGAAACTGAGATGAACTGGAGGCCCAGCGTTTAGTTTTAATGCTATGTAACAAAAACACACACACACACACACATGAAATTAAATTTTAGTTGCCTAAGAAGCTTATGAAGTTTAATTTTATGGGGTGAATGATTAAATGGCGACATCCAGAGATTATTAGTTGTTATCAGATGCAACTAGTTCCATGCAACCGGTTTTACACGACCTCAGTAGCTCTGCATCTGACTGTTCCCTGGAAATTATTCATGTTTCAGTTCTTCCTCTCTGACACATTTTCTCACTTTCTATCTGCCTCCCACACGTATTTTGTCATCTTAAGGACATAAACTTCTTTGCATTTTTAACAATACAGCAGTGTCAACATATTGATAATAAAACTGATCAGTTTACTGTCTGTCACAATGCCTTATCAGAGGACTAGATGTACCTTCATCTTACCATGGACAAGAAAACAATGTTTGGCAGACTGGCATCCAGTTTAGAAAATAGACTCAGAGTAATAATAGTGTTTGCAAATGAGAGAATGTGGAAAAAGACTCGACACAATCTTTATTCCCCGTCAGGCCGTTCAGAAGGACGCCACCTGCCCTCTGCTGGGCATAAGTTGTACTACACTGCATTTAAGCAGTGAAATAAATTCAAATGAACAGGAATTAATAACTACGTTGCTTCTCTTATACAGTTGAACTTCCCCATAAAGTACATCGTGGTGACAAATATTCTGCATATTACAGACAATGTGTAAAGACATATATGTTGTTGATTTGTGACTTTCTTTTATTGACATGTTAAACACCTCCTTTGTTAAATAACAATAATAATGTCCTTCAAACCGGGTCTCTTTCTTCAAGTAAATTAAAGAAGTCTGAGCTCAGACTTGACCGTAGACAGAATTCAGTCTTTCCATGTAGTCTCTTCTGTGCTTTTTGCTCCTCCACTGACCTGTACCTTCCAGCTGATTGTGGACTTCCTGCAGCCAAAAGACAGAGTCGCAGTTAGAGGTCAGAGGAGCCAAACAGCGGAAGTACGCAGAAAGCAGAAGAACAAGAAATCACACTGTTTAATAGACAAGAATACAAGTGCTGATGAAATATGAGGAGGTCAGGGGTCAGAGATGACTATAAAAAAAACTTCTGATGAGTTGTGTTTGTTTGGAGAAGTAGCCACACTCATCCCTGTAGCTCTGCCAGTTATCAGTGCAAGCAGACAAAAACGGTCCAATAAAGACGGAAGTGAGGCCAGTGGCTTCAAATACACTTTAGTCTCCAAGTCAGAAAGGCAGAATTAAAAGTATGCAAATCACATAAATTATTCTGACCTGTCCTCCCGATTGAAGCTGAGACTGGTGTTGGACTGGTTTCTGTCTTTCTTTTCTGGTGCCACATTTTCTGCAGAGATAAAACAATAACCATTAATCTTCATAACTATTCTGGTACTACTTTGTAAAAGAGACTAACAAGGTCAGGTAACACGTTGCATAATAAGGCTATTTTGAAATTGCTGGCATTCCCATAGTAATAGATGTAATAAGTCAGACATAGCACAAAAAAAAAAAAACCCTTGTCCACAAAGCATCCAGATGGTTCATTAATAGTCAGATTCTAATATCTGATTTCTAGTTCTGAAAATTACAATCACATGATTGTCTGTTCAAAACCAAATGCAGAGTTGGGAAGAATAGTTATAAATTTTACTCAAGTAAATGTAAAAATATATTTTGTATAAATGTTTCTTAAGTAGTGAGTACTTGAGTAATTCTGTTTAATCTGATTTAATTTGTGAAATTGATGTAGTTGTACAGACACAACATTAAATTCAGTGGAGGCTTTAGTACGTAAAAAAAGTAAAAAAAAAAAATATATATAAAAATGCTTAAAAAATAAATGCAAAATAATAAATGAGCAAATAAATAAATAAATAAATAAATTTCCAAATTTCAGTTTTCCACAACATACAACTTCTAAAACCTAACAGTGAAAAGTGTTATAGTGACCTCATTTGATGTCAGGATTGTTGTGAGTTGATTTGGATATTTGTTGTTAGATTCTGTTACCTCCCTATTTTATCCTGCTGGCTTTTTGGTCTGGATTCCTGTTTTAGTTTGACTCTGGTTCCCTGTGGTTTTATTGTAAGTTTTTTTTTTTTCATCGTTTTTTTTTTTTTTTTTACTAAACATTCTTCATTTAAAAGCTGCCTCCGTCTCTCCTCTCTGGATTTGGATCCACCATCAAACCCAGATCATGACATGTACCTTTATTTGATCTTCAAAGGGAACACCAGGCTCAGGAGACAGAAAATAACAGAACAATAACATCTATTAACAAACCAAAAGCCTCACCAGACATTTCTGTCTGAAGAATTATTAATTAATGTTTACGCATGTCATTCAGTGAGATTCAAAAGAGCTGATTGGAGTAGCCAGAAATTGTACCTGACAGTAAAGTTACTTTTATATATTACTCAAGTAAAAGAAAAAAAGTGCTGTACAGAAAAAATACTCCTAAAAGTTATTTTTTCTAAAAAGCTACTGAGGTGAATGTTACCTAAATCTACCCACATGGTCTTTAAGGGTGAAATTGTCTGTTTAACCGATTATGTACATATTTTTCAAATTATAACTTCAAAATGAGTCTTCTAGTTGTCTTTCTTTAAATTATATTGACATTTTGTGTGCTCAGCTACACATGCAGTCACATTCCATAATTAGATTATGTGATGATTGTTTGTCATGTTAAAAGTACATAGAACTACCTTTAATGACTTATTCAAGATATTTTTCAGTAAGCCCATACTGCTGTATTAGTTTTTTTATTGGTGTGAAGTAATACTATAATCTTAAATACATTAATTCTGATATTACCAAGGAGCAGCGGTATAATTTCTACTGCTGGACAAGAAATATTTTTTAGTAATCTCAGTAAAAATAATCACATTTGACATATTCTGATTTTGAAAAGTACCGTACAAGATGCAGACTCACCAAATCTAAAAAAAACCAAAGCTGTCTTATGCGGTGAATGTAGTTAAAATATATTCTGGTTTTTTTTAAAGTGTTCAAGAAATATGATGCAATGTTTTTACAATTGGCCACAAACAAATATTAAACATAAAAGAATTTCAGTTTCTTGTGCAACATAAACTGTATATGTTTATGTGAGTTAATCAAGAGCTTTGACAAAGACAAGAAAATGTAATGTTAATAGATCATTCAAAAAAAGTATTTAAAAATAAGATATTTATATTTGACATATTTTCAATATATGTCCTATGCAATGAGAATAATATTAAAAA